CTCTCTGACAAATTACTGACCAAGTAACCCAAATGACTCTTGACTCAAGTTCAGAAATCCCGGCAACCATTCATATTATTGCACCATGTTTTACCATTTCCCAGTCGTCGTCCTAGTTGTTTTTGTCTCAGCCTGGTGTGCCAACTTGTCGGAGCTTACGTGCTGTCCCAGTTTTGTCTGTCCAAGATCCTTGTCCCAGCCTGCCACAGCTTTCGGTCCCATCTTATCCCAGTTGTCTTTGTCCCAGCTCGTTATCCCAGCCTGTCCCATCTTTTCCCAGTTGTTTCTGTCCCAGCTTGTCCCAGTTTATGTGTTTTCCGCTTGTCCCAGTTTTGTTTGTCCAAGCTCATTGTACCCAGCATGTCCCAGGTTTCTGTCCCATCTTTTCCCAGTTTTGATTCTCCCAGCTCATTATCCCAGCATGTCCCCGCTTCTGTTGTCCCAGCCTGTCCCAGTTTTCCGTTGCCCAGCTCCTTGTCCCAGTCTAGCCTGTTGTCCCAGCTGGTGCCAGTTGTTGGCCCGGCCGATTGTCTCAGCCTGTCCCATCCTTTTGTTGTCCTCATTTCCCTGCGCGTTATCTGAGTCGATTTGAGATTTGATGTCCCAGCTTGTCCCAGATTTCATTGCCCCCTGTCATTGTCCCAGCCTGTCCCAGTCTTTGCTCCTCCAGCCTGTCTCAGTTTTGTCGTCGCAGTCCATCCCAGTTTTCAGTGTCCCTGCTCGTTGTCCCGAGCTTGCCGTAGTTCTGGTTGTCCCAGGTTGTGATTTGAGCTCGGAGTCCCGGCTCGGAGTCCCGGCTCGGAGTCCCGGCTCGGAGTCCCGGCTCGGAGTCCCGGCTTGGAGTCCCGGCTCGCTGTCCCAGTTCATGATTCGCAGTTCGCAGTCCCGGTTCCTGATCCACGTTCACAGTACCCTTCCTCTCCCCCCCCCACACCCCCTCCTCCCCTCTTTTTCACGATCCCTGTTCAGTGTCGATATTTCATCATCCCAGATTGAAGTGTCCGTTTCTGCACATGTTTGCTCTCCTGTGGGAAAAAGGCCATAGAGGGAAGTTTCTCTTTTTCTTCCTTTTTTTTTTGTGGGGAGGGGTTTGACTAAGCGTATGTGGAAAAATGACAGTCAATGCAGCGCAAAAAAGTAATCGATGTTGTCATGAATCCCCGATCCGTAATGCTGAGAGGGACGCGCTCAGAGTTTGGGATTGATGTATTTTGGTTGACTTACCGGGAGAATAGGAACCGGACTGATGTTTGCTCCCTCCCCCCAGAATGGATACGGAGCCAGGGGGGCGCGAGGAGGGAAGGGGGGGGGGGGGGGGGGGGGGGGGGGGAGAGGGGAACTTGATAAAGAAAAAGAAGCAAAAGAAAAATGAAGAAGGGGAGCAACAGTCCTTCGCAACATCCGTTAAAATTGGAGCGATACAGAGAAAGAAGATTTAGCATCCGTTAAAATTGGAACGATACAGAGAAGATTAGCACTGCCCCTGCACAAAAAAAGAAAGAAGTAAGGGGAAAAAAAAAGGGCAAGGGAGTAAAAAGACGATCAGCATGACAAAAAAAAAAAAAAAAAACAAGATTAGCATGGCCCCTGTGCAAGGATGACTCACATAAATCGGGAAATGATCCACACACAAAAAAAAAAGAGGAGAAGAAGAAGAAGAAGGGGAAGAAGAAGGGGAAGAAGACGACGAGGAAGAAGAAGGAGAAGAAGAAGAGGAAGAAGAAGGAGAAGAAGAAGAGGAAGAAGAAGGAGAAGAAGAAGGAGAAGAAGAAGAGGAAGAAGGAGAAGAAGAGGAAGAAGAAGAAGAAGAAGAAGAAGAAGAAGAAGAAAAAGAAGAAGGGGAACAAAAGGAGTTAAAAAAAAAGATTAGCATGAAAAAAAAAACAAGATTAGCATGGCCCCTGTGCAAGGATGACTCGCGCAAATCGGGAAATGATCCACAAAAAAAAAAAAAAAGAGGAGAAGACGACAACGACAACGACGGCGAAGACAAGAAGAAGAAGAAGAAGAAGAAGAAGAAGAAGAAGAAGAAGAAGAAGAAGAAGAAGAAGAGGAGAAGACGGCAACGACGACGACGACGACGACGACGACGAAGAAGAAGAAGAAGAAGAAGAAGAAGAAGAAGAAGAAGAAGAAGAAGAAGAAGAAGAATAAGAAGAAGAAGAAGACGGGGAACAGCGAGTGAAATGATGGCTGGCACTTTGCTCTCACTTTATCAACCGTTCCTTGAAAGTCAGACCACTTTGCTTCTCAGCGAAGGATGCAGAACTCCCATTGTCGATTGCTGAAGCAGGTGGCAGGTTTCTCTCGTCCTCTGCCGTCCCATCTTCAGCAACATTGAAGGCCCCTCGCACAAGAGACACATTGCTTTTCAAGTGCTCCGTGTCCAACCTGAAAAACAAACAGCATGCAGATGCATGGTGAACAAAATGCAGTTAGGGGGGAATCACTGACCGAAAACGAAGAAAAGGATAGCAACAATTTTATGTGTGTGAATGATGTAGGTTACTAGGTGTGCATATCAGACCTTGCATAAACGGAAGTCCAAACAAGGGGAAAGAGAGGGGGGGTAAGGTAAGGTCAACCTCTCAGGTGTACCGACGGCCCGTGCCAGAAAATAACATGAACAAGCGAAATTCCTCGACAAAAGGGGTATCTTCTTTAGCATCAAAGACAAAAAATCTGGCTATATGCAGCGGCAACCTCCGACCGAGTGACACAAAAGCAAAATATTGCTAGGCTGGGCCGCCACCCGGCCGGGCAGGGCTGGGGGGGTCCACCTGGGAAATCCAGGCGGCCCCAAAACCCAGCAGGGAATTTTTTTTGTTTTTTTTTTTGAAACCGGGGTTTTGCTGCGCTACCCTAGAG